AAAGAAAATATATTATTTAAAATTTAATAAATGTTTTCAAAAGAATTTGTGTTTCAAAAATATATTTAAACGCATATAACAATTTTCTATACGATTATAAATCTACTAGCCGAATGACCCGGGCAAGGCCCGGGTTTTACCCGATTAAATGTTTTTATTCAAATACTATTCATTACAATTATAAATTGGCACCGTGGATGTCACTTTTGTGAAACGTCCCGCTCCAAACTTTGTGTGTTTTTAAAATATAAAAATAAATATGTAAATTTTCACAACGATATTTGAAAATTATATTATTTAGATTTTCAAATACTATTCGTTACAATTATAAATTGGCGCCGTGGATGTCACTCTTGTGAAACGTCCCGCTCCAAGCTTTGTGTCTGAGAAGCGATACTTTTATAGAAAGATGATCTGGCTTTTGTTTTCTGCTCGAATGAATGTTTTTCTGTTAGAATTTTGTTCCTGCGTACAAAATAATAAATTGGTTTCACCCGTGGTCTCAGCTTTTAGGAATTTTTCCCGATATATTTTGTATCTGATAATCAAACATGATACAGCAATATCGTCATCATCATTTTCTGACTAAAAATATATAGTTTTAATAATTGAATTATATATTTTTTAAAATAGCATATCGTCTTCCCCGTATTTTTTTTACCCATGTATGGAAATTTTGGTTTGAATTAGTGAACAACTGCGAATTTGTATACCGGACATACAAACAAACATACAAACATTCATTTTTATATATATAGATAGAAGATAGATATATAGGTGAATTGGATGTCTTCTAGATTCGTTTTAACAAATGTTCGTTAGGCAAACTTTTACTTGGGTAAAAACCGGGCGAAGCCGGGTACATTCGCTAAATACAGTTATTTACAAATGTTCGTTTGTGGCAAGATATTATTCCTTCAACTTCAAATTATCGAGTGGACCAATTTATATTGATTTTATTCAACTTATCGTGTATTTTTCAAGGGACCGAGAAATTTTTCAAATTATCGAGAGTATAGACAAGTATAGATTCAGTAGGAATTGGATGTTTGCTAGAATCGTTTTAAGAAATGTTCGTTAGGCAAACCTTTACTCGAGTAAAAACCCGGCGAAGCCGGGAAGGTATATATATATATGTATATAAAGCTATACAGCCAATTTAACCGCATACGTTTCTTTTTATTTATGTAAAATCATTTTTAATTTCAAAGATAAATAATTTAATATTTCTATCTTTTGGATGACGTATGAAAAGGTTGAATATATGAAGAGTGATGGTCTATATATGAATGGATGACGTATGGAGGGTGAAAAAGATGAAGAGTAATGGCGAACGGAAAAATAAAAGTGTCCCAGGAGCGGGAATCGAACCCACAACCTTCTGCTTACCGGGCAGGTGCCATGTCCACTAGGCTATCCTGGACGATATTTCTCCGTTTGTAACTAATATTTAAACTGACTAATAATACTTATAAATGACTGCGGCGTATAATTATAGAGCTATACAACCAGTTTAACCGCATAAGTTTCTTTTTATTTATGAAAAATCATTTTTAATTTCAAAGAGAAATAATTTAATATTTCTAACTTTTGGATGACGTATGAAAAGGTTGAATATATGAAGAGTGATGGTCTATATATGAATGGATGACGTATGAAGGGTGAAAAAGATGAAGAGTGATGGCGAACGGAAAAATAAAAGTGTCCAGGAGCGGGAATCGAACCCACAACCTTCTGCTTACCGGGCAGGTGCCATGTCCACTAGGCTATCCAGGACGATATTTCTCCGTTCGTAACTAATATTTAAACTGACTAATAATACTTATAAATGACTGCGGCGTATAATTATAAAGCTATACAACCAGTTTAACCGCATAAGTTTCTTTTTTATTTATGAAAAATCATTTTTAATTTCAAAGAGAAATAATTTAATATTTCTAACTTTTGGATGACGTATGAAAAGGTTGAATATATGAAGAGTGATGGTCTATATATGAATGGATGACGTATGGAGGGTGAAAAATATGAAGAGTAATGGCGAACGGAAAAATAAAAGTGTCCAGGAGCGGGAATCGAACCCACAACCTTCTGCTTACCGGGCAGGTGCCATGTCCACTAGGCTATCCTGGACGATATTTCTCCGTTCGTAACTAATATTTAAACTGACTGATAATACTTATATATGACTGCGGCGTATAATTATAAAGCTATACAACCAGTTTAACCGCATAAGTTTCTTTTTATTTATGAAAAATCATTTTTAATTTCAAAGAGAAATAATTTAATATTTCTAACTTTTGGATGAAGTATGAAAGGTTGAATATATGAAGAGTGATGGTCTATATATGAATGGATGACGTATGGAGGGTGAAAAATATGAAGAGTAATGGCGAACGGAAAAATAAAAGTGTCCAGGAGCGGGAATCAAACCCACAACCTTCTGCTAACCGGGCAGGTGCCATGTCCACTAGGCTATCCTGGACGATATTTCTCCGTTCGTTACTACTATTTAAACTGACTAATAATACTTATAAATGACTGCGGCGTATAATTATAAAGCTATACAACCAGTTTACCCGCATTAGTTTCTTTTTATTTATGAAAAATCATTTTCAATTTCAAAGATAAATAATTTAATATTTCTAACTTTTGGATGACGTATGAAAAGGTTGAATATATGAAGAGTGATGGTCTATATATGAATGGATGACGTATGGAGGGTGAAAAAGATGAAGAGTAATGGCGAACGGAAAAATAAAAGTGTCCAGGAGCGGGAATCGAACCCACAACCTTCTGCTTACCGGGCAGGTGCCATGTCCACTAGGCTATCCAGGACGATATTTCTCCGTTCGTAACTAATATTTAAACTGACTAATAATACTTATAAATGACTGCGGCGTATAATTATAAAGCTATACAACCAGTTTAACCGCATAAGTTTCTTTTTTATTTATGAAAAATCATTTTTAATTTCAAAGAGAAATAATTTAATATTTCTAACTTTTGGATGACGTATGAAAAGGTTGAATATATGAAGAGTGATGGTCTATATATGAATGGATGACGTATGGAGGGTGAAAAGATGAAGAGTAATGGCGAACGGAAAAATAAAAGTGTCCAGGAGCGGGAATCGAACCCACAACCTTCTGCTTACCGGGCAGGTGCCATGTCGACTAGGCTATCCAGGACGATATTTCTCCGTTCGTAACTAATATTTAAACTGACTTATAATACTTATAAATGACTGCGGCGTATAATTATAAAGCTATACAACCAGTTTAACCGCATAAGTTTCTTTTTTATTTATGAAAAATCATTTTTAATTTCAAAGAGAAATAATTTAATATTTCTAACTTTTGGATGACGTATGAAAAGGTTGAATATATGAAGAGTGATGGTCTATATATGAATGAATGACGTATGGAGGGTGAAAAATATGAAGAGTAATGGCGAACGGAAAAATAAAAGTGTCCAGGAGCGGGAATCGAACCCACAACCTTCTGCTTACCGGGCAGGTGCCATGTCCACTAGGCTATCCTGGACGATATTTATCCGTTCGTAACTAATATTTAAACTGACTAATAATACTTATAAATGACTGCGGCGTATAATTATAAAGCTATACAACCAGTTTAACCGCATAAGTTTCTTTTTATTTATGAAAAATCATTTTTAATTTTAAAGAGAAATAATTTAATATTTCTAAATTTTGGATGACGTATGAAAAGGTTGAATATATGAAGAATGATGGTCATATATGAATGGATCACGTATGGAGGGTGAAAAATATGAAGAGTAATGGCGAACGGAAAAATAAAAGTGTCCAGGAGCGGGAATCGAACCCACAACCATCTGCTTACCGGGCAGGTGCCATGTCCACTAGGCTATCCTGGACGATATTTCTCCGTTCGTAACTACTATTTAAACTGACTAATAATACTTATAAATGACTGCGGCGTATAATTATAAAGCTATACAACCAGTTTACCGGCATAAGTTTCTTTTTATTTATGAAAAATCATTTTCAATTTCAAAGATAAATAATTTAATATTTCTAACTTTTGGATGACGTATGAAAAGGTTGAATATATGAAGAGTGATGGTCTATATATGAATGGATGACGTATGAAGGGTGAAAAAGATTAAGAGTAATGGCGAATGTAAAAATAAAAGTGTCCAGTAGCGGAAATCGAACCCACAACCTTCTGCTTACCGGGCAGGTGCCATGTCCACTAGGCTATCCTGGACGATATTTCTCCGTTCGTAACTAATATTTAAACTGACTAATAATACTTATATATGACTGCGGCGTATAATTATAAAGCTATACAACCAGTTTAACCGCATAAGTTTCTTTTTATTTATGAAAAATCATTTTTAATTTCAAAGAGAAATAATTTAATATTTCTAACTTTTGGATGACGTATGAAAGGTTGAATATATGAAGAGTGATGGTCTATATATGAATGGATGACGTATGGAGGGTGAAAAATATGAAGAGTAATGGCGAACGGAAAAATAAAAGTGTCCAGGAGCGGGAATCAAACCCACAACCTTCTGCTAACCGGGCAGGTGCCATGTCCACTAGGCTATCCTGGACGATATTTCTCCGTTCGTAACTACTATTTAAACTGACTAATAATACTTATAAATGACTGCGGCGTATAATTATAAAGCTATACAACCAGTTTACCCGCATTAGTTTCTTTTTATTTATGAAAAATCATTTTCAATTTCAAAGATAAATAATTTAATATTTCTAACTTTTGGATGACGTATGAAAAGGTTGAATATATGAAGAGTGATGGTCTATATATGAATGGATGACGTATGGAGGGTGAAAAAGATGAAGAGTAATGGCGAACGGAAAAATAAAAGTGTCCAGGAGCGGGAATCGAACCCACAACCTTCTGCTTACCGGGCAGGTGCCATGTCCACTAGGCTATCCAGGACGATATTTCTCCGTTCGTAACTAATATTTAAACTGACTAATAATACTTATAAATGACTGCGGCGTATAATTATAAAGCTATACAACCAGTTTAACCGCATAAGTTTCTTTTTTATTTATGAAAAATCATTTTTAATTTCAAAGAGAAATAATTTAATATTTCTAACTTTTGGATGAAGTATGAAAAGGTTGAATATATGAAGAGTGATGGTCTATATATGAATGGATGACGTATGGAGGGTGAAAAGATGAAGAGTAATGGCGAACGGAAAAATAAAAGTGTCCAGGAGCGGGAATCGAACCCACAACCTTCTGCTTACCGGGCAGGTGCCATGTCTACTAGGCTATCCAGGACGATATTTCTCCGTTCGTAACTAATATTTAAACTGACTAATAATACTTATAAATGACTGCGGCGTATAATTATAAAGCTATACAACCAGTTTAACCGCATAAGTTTTTTTTTATTTATGAAAAATCATTTTTAATTTCAAAGAGAAATAATTTAATATTTCTAACTTTTGGATGACGTATGAAAAGGTTGAATATATGAAGAGTGATGGTCTATATATGAATGGATGACGTATGGAGGGTGAAAAAGATGAAGAGTAATGGCGAACGGAAAAATAAAAGTGTCCAGGAGCGGGAATCGAACCCACAACCTTCTGCTTACCGGGCAGGTGCCATGTCCACTAGGCTATCCTGGACGATATTTCTCCGTTCGTAACTAATATTTAAACTGACTAATAATACTTATAAATGACTGCGGCGAATAATTATAAAGCTATACAACCAGTTTAACCGCATAAGTTTATTTTTATTTATGAAAAATCATTTTTAATTTCAAAGAGAAATAATTTTAATAATTCTAACTTTTGGATGACGTATGAAAAGGTTGAATATATGAAGAGTGATGGTCTATATATGAATGGATGACGTATGGAGGGTGAAAAAGATGAAGAGTAATGGCAAACGGAAAAATAAAAGTGTCCAGGAGCGGGAATCGAACCCACAACCTTCTGCTTACCGGGCAGGTGCCATGTCCACTAGGCTATCCAGGACGATATTTCTCCGTTCGTAACTAATATTTGAACTGACTAATAATACTTATAAATGACTGCGGCGTATAATTATAAAGCTATACAACCAGTTTAACCGCATAAGTTTCTTTTTTATTTATGAAAAATCATTTTTAATTTCGAAGATAAATAATTTATATTTCGAACTTTTGGATGACGTATGAAAAGGTTGAATATATGAAGAGTGATGGTCTATATATGAATGGATGACGTATGGAGGGTGAAAAATATGAAGAGTAATGGCGAACGGAAAAATAAAAGTGTCCAGGAGCGGGAATCGAACCCACAACCTTCTGCTTACCGGGCAGGTGCCATGTCCACTAGGCTATCCTGGACGATATTTATCCGTTCGTAACTAATATTTAAACTGACTAATAATACTTATAAATGACTGCGGCGTATAATTATAAAGCTATACAACCAGTTTAACCGCATAAGTTTCTTTTTATTTATGAAAAATCATTTTTAATTTCAAAGAGAAATAATTTAATATTTCTAAATTTTGGATGACGTATGAAAAGGTTGAATATATAAAGAGTGATGGTCTATATATGAATGGATGACGTATGGAGGGTGAAAAATATGAAGAGTAATGGCGAACGGAAAAATAAAAGTGTCCAGGAGCGGGAATCGAACCCACAACCTTCTGCTTACCGGGCAGGTGCCATGTCCACTAGGCTATCCTGGACGATATTTCTCCGTTCGTAACTACTATTTAAACTGACTAATAATACTTATAAATGACTGCGGCGTATAATTATAAAGCTATACAACCAGTTTACCGGCATAAGTTTCTTTTTATATATAAAAAATCATTTTTAATTTCAAAGATAAATAATTTAATATTTCTAACTTTTGGATGACGTATGAAAAGGTTGAATATATGAAGAGTGATGGTCTATATATGAATGGATGACGTATGAAGGGTGAAAAAGATGAAGAGTAATGGCGAATGTAAAAATAAAAGTGTCCAGTAGCGGGAATCGAACCCACAACCTTCTGCTTACCGGGCAGGTGCCATGTCCACTAGGCTATCCTGGACGATATTTCTCCGTTCGTAACTAATATTCAAACTGACTAATAATACTTATATATGACTGCGGCGTATAATTATAAAGCTATACAACCAGTTTAACCGCATAAGTTTCTTTTTATTTATGAAAAATCATTTTTAATTTCAAAGAGAAATAATTTAATATTTCTAACTTTTGGATGACGTATGAAAGGTTGAATATATGAAGAGTGATGGTCTATATATGAATGGATGACGTATGGAGGGTGAAAAATATGAACAGTAATGGCGAACGGAAAAATAAAAGTGTCCAGAGCGGGAATCAAACCCACAACCTTCTGCTAACCGGGCAGGTGCCATGTCCACTAGGCTATCCTGGACGATATTTCTCCGTTCGTAACTACTATTTAAACTGACTAATAATACTTATAAATGACTGCGGCGTATAATTATAAAGCTATACAACCAGTTTACCCGCATTAGTTTCTTTTTATTTATGAAAAATCATTTTCAATTTCAAAGATAAATAATTTAATATATCTAACTTTTGGATGACGTATGAAAAGGTTGAATATATGAAGAGTGATGGTCTATATATGAATGGATGACGTATGGAGGGTGAAAAATATGAAGAGTAATGGCGAACAGAAAAATAAAAGTGTCCAGGAGCGGGAATCGAACCCACAACCTTCTGCTTACCGGGCAGGTGCCATGTCCACTAGGCTATCCTGGACGATATTTCTCCGTTCGTAACTACTATTTAAACTGAATAATAATACTTAATGACTGCGGCGTATAATTATAAAGCTATACAACCAGTTTACAGGCATAAGTTTCTTTTTATTTATGAAAAATCATTTTTAATTTCAAAGAGAAATAATTTAATATTTCTAACTTTTGGATGACGTATGAAAAGGTTGAATATATGAAGAGTGATATATAAGAAATATATTTCCGTTCGCCATTACTCTTCATATTTTTCACCCTCCATACGTCATCCATTAATATATAGACCATCACTCTTCATATATTCAACCTTTTCATACGTCATCCAAAAGTTAGAAATTATTTCTCTTTGAAATTAAAAATGATTTTTCATAAATAAAAAGAAATTTATGCGGTTAAACTGGTTGTAAAGCTTTATAATTATACGCCGCAGTCATTTATAAGTATTATTAGTCAGTTTAAATATTTAAATAGTTTAAATATTAAAATAGTTTAAATATTAGTTACGAACGGAGAAATATCGTCCAGGATAGCCTAGTGGACATGGCACCTGCCCGGTAAGCAGAAGGTTGTGGGTTCGATTCCCGCTCCTGGACACTTTTATTATTCCGTTCGCCATTACTCTTCACATTTTCACCCTCCATACGTCATCCATTCATATATAGACCATCACTCTTCATATATTCAACCTTTTCATACGTCATCCAAAAGTTAGAAATATCAAATTATTTATCTTTGAAATTAAAAATGATTTTTCATAAATAAAAAGAAACTTATGCGGTTAAACTGGTCGTAAAGCTTTATAATTATACCCCGCAGTCATTTATAAGTATTATTAGTCAGTTTAAATATTAGTTACGAACGGAGAAATATCGTCCAGGATAGCCTAGTGGACATGGCACCTGCCCGGTAAGCAGAAGGTTGTGGGTTCGATTCCCGCTCCTGGACACTTTTATTTTTCCGTTCGCCATTACTCTTCATATTTTTCACCCTCCATACGTCATCCATTCATATATAGACCATCTCTCTTCATATATTCAACCTTTTGATACGTCATCCAAAAGTTAGAAATATTAAATTATTTCTCTTTGAAATTAAAAATGATTTTTCATAAATAAAAAGAAACTTATGCGGTTAAACTGGTTGTATAGCTTTATAATTATACGCCGCAGTCATTTATAAGTATTACTAGTCAGTTTAAATATTAGTTACGAACGGAGAAATATCGTCCAGGATAGCCTAGTGGACATGGCACCTGCCCGGTAAGCAGAAGGTTGTGGGTTCGATTCCCGCTCCTGGACACTTTTATTTTTCCGTTCGCCATTACTCTTCATATTTTTCACCCTCCATACGTCATCCATTCATATATAGACCATCACTCTTCATATATTCAACCTTTTCATACGTCATCCAAAAGTTAGAAATATTAAATTATTTATCTTTGAAATTAAAAATGATTTTTCATAAATAAAAATAAACTTATGCGGTTAAACTGGTTGTATAGCTTTATAATTATACGCCGCAGTCATTTATAAGTATTATTAGTCATTTTAAATATTAGTTACGAACGGAGAAATATCGTCCAGGATAGCCTAGTGGACATGGCACCTGCCCGGTAAGCAGAAGGTTGTGGGTTCGATTCCCGCTCCTGGACACTTTTATTATTCCGTTCGCCATTACTCTTCACATTTTCACCCTCCATACGTCATCCATTCATATATAGACCATCACTCTTCATATATTCAACCTTTTCATACGTCATCCAAAAGTTAGAAATATCAAATTATTTATCTTTGAAATTAAAAATGATTTTTCATAAATAAAAAGAAACTTATGCGGTTAAACTGGTCGTAAAGCTTTATAATTATACGCCGCAGTCATTTATAAGTATTATTAGTCAGTTTAAATATTAGTTACGAACGTAGAAATATCGTCCAGGATAGCCTAGTGGACATGGCACCTGCCCGGTAAGCAGAAGGTTGTGGGTTCGATTCCCGCTCCTGGACACTTTTATTTTTCCGTTCGCCATTACTCTTCATATTTTTCACCCTCCATACGTCATCCATTCATATATAGACCATCACTCTATATATTCAACCTTTTCATACGTCATCCAAAAGTTAGAAATATTAAATTATTTCTCTTTGAAATTAAAAATGATTTTTCATAAATAAAAAGAAACTTATGCGGTCAAACTGGTCGTATAGCTTTATAATTATACGCCGCAGTCATTTATAAATATATATATATATGTTTGTCGGCTATGCACGCCCTCGATATGTAACTTATCTCGCTGAAATTTGAACAGGACAGAGAATTAAATCTGGAAGATTTTTTAGTCGCCCTTTTAACCAAGAAAAATATAATTATCCTAGTACTGAGCAACAATATATTTATTTTGTCAGGAATGATGATGACAATATTGCTGTATCATGCTTGATTGCCATAAAAAAATTCTTTAGGGGAATATTCACTAGAGCAGACCACGGGCGAAGCCAGATAATAATTTTTAGTAGGCAGGAACAAATTTCTACCAGCGAAACATTCACTCGAGTAGAAGACACACGAAGCCAGGTCATCTCTATATATAAAACTAGACGAATGACCCGGGCAACGCCCGGGTTTACACGATTAAATGTATTATTCAAACACATAAAACATAGGAAAATAAAACAATTGCAAATATAGCAAGAGCCGTTATTTTAAACGGCGAATTAGATAAGTTATAGCAAAAAATGAAAATATATATGTAAATATGTGAAATAGTTATAAATTAGAAAACCTGTAAATATAGTTAAGGCTTTTGCATTGTAATTAAGATAAAGCTTCTA